TAAAGCTTTTTTTTTTTTTTTTTTTTTTTTTGTTGGTTTGTTCTGTCTCACCCTAGGAAAAGAGGTGTTGCATGAACTCCTGCAGAGAGCCAGGGCAGCAGCCTCTGCCAGTATCCTTGTGCTGGCGCTCTGCAGCTCTTGGAAGATCCCTTTATCAGGGAAGAACAGGCACCTAGTGTGGAGCTGGTCAGAGCCCTGCTGGGTCGGATGGAGAGCAAGGAGGGACCCCTCTCAGTTGACACAAACCTGCTGGCCCCAGCAGCTCTTTTCTCTGAGAGTGTTATGTCAGGAAGGATTGAATTGCACTTTCTTAGAAACACAACTCCTCAGGCGACTGCTGGCTTCATCCTTCCAGAACTCACTTCAATTCCTTAAATAAAGCTGTCTCTTTCTCCCTGGGCTGTTTATTTCCTTCCCACGCTGAGCACTTTGTCACTCTGTGTGGTAATCCTCAGCAATTTATCACACCTCCCACAAAGTGAGTATGCAGGGTGTTTTCTCATTTCCTGAAAAGCACAGTGCATGTCATCATGGAGTGGCTTTGCTTGCAGCACCTATTCCACACCTTCAATGCCATCAGCACAGGTGAATGAATTTTAATGTTGTAGGAGAGTTTGCTGCCACAGGGGTGGTCACACAAAGGTGAAGGTTATATGTAGCGATGTAGCAGGCTGAGGGCATCTTTGCGTTCCAGCCTCCCTGCTGCATTGTGTACTCCCAGTTTTCTTCTGTTGGTGTTTTGTTTTGTTTTGTTTTCCTCACAGAATCTTGTAGGTTGGAAAGGACCTCTTGATCATCTAATCCAATCCTTCTCAAGCAGAATCACCTGGGACAGGCAGATCAGGACTGTGTCTGTTTGGGTTTTCGGTATCACCACAACTGGAGATAAGGCAGCTGCTCTGGGCAACTTGTTCCTGAATTTGACTACCCTCACAGTAAAAGGTGTTTTCTTGTCTTCAGATGGACTCTCAGTTTGTGCCCACTGCCTCTTGTCACTGTGCACCAGTGAAAAAAGGCCGGGTCCCTTCATTGCCTCTCATGGGATATTTCAACACATTGATAAGATCCCCCTTGAGCCTTCTCCAGGTTGAACAGTCCTATCTCTCAGCTTCTCTTCATGCAAGAGATGCTCCGGTCCCTTAGCTTACTGGCCCTTTGCTGGACTCTTTCCATTATGTCCATGTCTTTCGTGCTGCAGAGCCCAGAGCTGGACACAGAACTCTGTATTTAGAGAGGAAGGATCACCTTCCCTAATGTGCTGGCAACATTCATACTCTGGCAACCCAGGATACTGCTGGCTAGGGTAAGGTTTGCTGCCAGGCTCTCCCACATACCCCAGGCCAGGACATTGCTTGGTGGTAGGAGTTGGAATGGTGTCACTGGTTGGTATTTATGTCAGGGAGCAATGGGAGAAGATGAACATACCCTTGGAGGAATTGAAACCATAAAATAAACCTTCATACCTGTATGCTTCAACACAGTCCAGCTGATGAAGTAGATTGTGCATAGAATTTGCATGAAGGTAGCAAAATGCTTTTTTTTTTTTTTTTGCTTCTTAGAATCATAGAATGGGTAGTGTTGTAAGGAGCCTTAAAGATCATCTAGTTCCAACCCCCATGCCATGGAAAATTGAACCCATCTGCCCCCACTGGAGAGCCCAACCTTCTGGTTGAGAGCACCTTTTCTCCATTAATATGTGTGAGCAGGAGCTGGCATAGAGATGTGTTTAACCCCTGCCTACCCTCTTAGTTTTTTCGTGCTAACCTAGCTGCTGGCTCTTGGGGTGGTACAGCTGTACCCAGCAGAAAAAAATGGAGACTATTGCAGTGAAGGTGGTGCTTCCTCACAATTGATTTCTGCTTTCTTCTGTGCTCCAGGGGATGCTGCAATAGCTCTGGAAAAGCCCACACTGTGTTTCCCCAGGTGAAAGTGTGTGATTCTGTGGTAACTGGGCGCTCGCTGTGGCAGTGGGAGTGCCCAGGCTGGACTGGCTGCGCACCTCCAGGGGTCTAGGCTCACTGCCCACACAGGTAGGGCTCGTGCCTGCCACACCATTGGGGGACATGAACCAGGAGAGAACCTGAGCAGGTGGAAACCTGGGGGCTTCATTCAGGCCACCCTTGTTCCTCATGCCAACTATGGTGCCATGGGCACCAGCGGGCTGCAGGTGGTAAATAGTGCAAGACTTGCAACTGCTTATGATGGAGCCTGGGGTAATTTTTGTCCCTGCTGGGCTTGTCTGAGGGTGTTCCCGCCTAGCTGGTGCCTTTCACCCCATGGGAGCCATTCCTGAGTTGGTGAGCTGCAGAGAGCCTTAGGGAAGGGTGGTGAGAGACTGGAACAGGTTACCCAGAGAAGTTGTGGATGCCCCATCCCTGGAGGTGTTCAAGGTCAGACTGGATGAGGCTTTGAGCAATGTGGTCTCTTGGAAGGTGTCCCTGTCCATGGTAGAGGGGTTGGAACTAAATTATCTTTAAGGTCCCTTCCAACCCAAACCATCCTATGATTCTGTGATTTGTATACACTCACTGTCAGTCAGTCTTAAATCACTTGGACTAGTTTTTCCCTGAGAAAACCAGGGAATGGAGATTGTCCCTAGTACCAAATCAGGGTTTTATCCCAGAAAAATTGTAGTGCCCAATACTTGTGACTTGTTCCTGCCAGTAGTCTATACAATTCATAATGAGCCAGTCATCCTCCACTAGCATGTGCTATCCCATGTCCCCTCTCAGCAGCAGCCTCTGCTGTCACTAGTCTGTTCTCCTCATGCTGACTTGTCCCTGAGCTTGGCCATCATGTGGGTTGATGTGTCTGTCAGGTATCACCTCTGAATTTCTGAGCTGCTTTACAACTAGCAGCCAGTTAGCCTCAGCGTTGGTGGCATTTTGGGATGGGAGCTCCGTGGGGTCTAACCCCGAGCCAGGCTGCAGCCATTAGCCTCTGCCTCTCTGGCAATCCCATGGGAGAGCAGAGGCATGAGTTGGGCTAGATGCAAGGAGTGGGATTGGGATGTGCTATTTGGACATGGGGATGTCCTGGTTTCGGCTACGATAGAGTTAACATTCTTCATAGTAGCTGCTAAGAGGCTGTGTTTTGGATTTGTGCTGAGAAGGCTGATAACATACTGATGTTTATAGTTGCTGCCAGGACAATCAAGGACTTTTCAGCTTCTCTGCTGTGCCAGTGTCTGCAGTTCCAGGAGAAGCTGGGAGGGAACACAGCCCCAGTTACTAGCCTAGGATTCAACCTTAGATTTAGGACTGAGACACAAATTGGCCGATGGTATATTCCATATCATGCACATCATGCCCAGGATATAGATGAAGCTCTGTCCGAAAGTTCTCTCTCTCTCTCTCTGGGTCTCCCATCTCTTGGGGTTGTCTCACTCTTTCAGTCAGCTCTCCATCTCTCAGACACTCAGGCTCTTATCTTTTCTGGGATTGTGGTTTCAGGACTCTCCCTGCTCCAGGAACAGGCTGAGCCTTTTTCATTGGGTGGTGAGCAGTTTTACTGTGTATCACTCATTTGTGTATTTGTATATTTGTATGTATTACTATTATAATAATTTTTTATCATTATTATTTTCAAATTTATTGTAGTTTAGTTATTAAATAGTTCTTATCTCAACCCACGTGTCTTGTTTCCCTTTACCCCTTTAATTCTCTGCCCCATCCCTGTGAGGGGGGAGGGTGAGCAAATGGCTGTGTGGTGTTCGTCACTATCTAGGTTTAAAACCACAATGGTGGCATGGGACCCTTCCTGGAGGGGTAGGACTGCACATGGCCTGGGGAAACTATGTTGCTGGGCTGATGCCAGATTCTCTGCTTCCCCAGGCAGAGTGGGACTAAGAAGGGTTTGTTGACTTCCTTGGCAGACAGCCATGGCCTAAAGGTTGAGATTATCGTTGGGGGCCACCTTCAGAAGCAGCTGGCCCGAGCACTCCTGACGCTGAGCTGGCCTCCATGCCCCAGTATCTGTGTTTCCACCAGGCACCTTGAGAGCCTGGGTAAGTGCTCTCCAGCCTGGGCCTAGAAGTGAGACTGCCCTTAGGTGGACTTTTAACTGCATTTTTTGATAGCACTTTAGGTAGAACTCACTAAATAATGTTTTTTGGCCAAAAATATTGAAGGTATGGAAACTCCAGTCTTTTATGGGGAAGCAGAGGATGCTGTTGTAGAAAAGTTATTTATTTGGTTGGAAACCCACTGTCCACCAAACATTAATTTAGCTGTTTGCTTTCTTTTACCAGTCCCATCTGAGAGTGGTGGAGACGTTAAGCCTGTTCTTTGAACGCTGGCTTGTTTAAAGCCCATTTTAGTTTAGTCTCCCCCATTTTTGTGGCTCCTCAAAACTCTCCGTGTCATTTGCCAAGAGCCTGGTTGGTGAATGAGACTCCAGGTTGTTAAGTATTCACCCAACACAGAAAACATCTCTCTGAATGAGCAGCAGTGCTGAAACAGATGTCCTTCTCCTTGTTTCAGGGCTGCAGGGTCAGTTGTAGCAGACAAGCTTCTCACTGGACTCTGGATGTCCACCCAGGAGAGATCAGCCTGCAGCATTACAGCAACTGTTTGCATACGCACTGCCAACTGCCCTGTAAACTCTTATGTAAAACAAGACAGGTGGGGAGAACGGTCCTCCAGGAAGATTCTTGGAACAGTAAAATCCTCTTTATAATCATCTTGGGGAAGAGAGGAAGCAGGGATTATTAAATGGCTTTTTATAGATCTTGAAAACTAGCCAGATCCTAAGGCTTGGCTGTTTCAGCTAAAGGCTTTACATCAGCCTGCGTGAACCGGGGCCAGGCAGCTGAGCTCTCTGCATGTTTATTCCAGGCCTGCTCCCTGTCACTCTGCTGCTGCCCTTTGCTATGTAGGAACAGAAATGGGCAGCAGCCAAAGTCCCTCCGTACCACTTTGGGCAGGTAGCCAGTGGTCCCAGCCTGGGAGCGGGGGTTTGTGTTTCACCTGCATATGGCAGAGCACCAGTAACTGCACTGCCAGTGCCCAGAGGTGCTGGTCAGTCACCTGTGCCGGTTCTGTGGGCTTTTGAGCCACTTTCTTCTTGCTTATCGCAGCAGACCTGCAGAAGCAGGGGCATGCGTGCTTTTATGACAGCGCTCAGCTGGTGGCCTGGGCAGACGTTGCATTCCTCTGCTGCCTCCCATCACAGGTGCTGTCCCTCTGGTCTGCTGTTCGGCCTGCCATCCAGAAACCCTATGCTGTGTACAGCTTTGTCACCACCGTCCCTCTCCTCAGGTAAAACAGACCACGTCATTTGAGAGCCTAGATGTGTTGCCATAATTTGTAACCTCACAGGGCAAGCACAGCATGTCTGCTCTTATTGCCTCTCATGATTTTATTGTGAAACATCATTGCACACCTTGTCATGGTTGGTCACTTCCCCAAGTCCCCAACTGCTGGAGTCACAGGAACACTTTCATTTCAGCTTTCTGTTTGTCTAGAGGAAGTTGTAGACTTTGTGGCTATAATCCTGAAAACATGATCAAAAGGAGTGAAGGGAGCTCCAGATCAAACACAATACTGGCATTGAAACCCTGCTCTGCCAGGGCCTCAGGTGGCTGCAAGATAACCCGTTGTGAGACAGCGCAGGAAGCAAGGCACGTAGAACCAGCCTGCACTCTCCACAGTCCAAAAAGCAAACCCAGTGCATCGAGTTTCACTTTCAGCTGCTGCCGTAGCTCTCCAGAGGGCTCTGAGTGCAGGGGTATGACCTGTACCCCCTGCTCCTGACCCCTTGGGGTGCCCAGCCTCTGCAGTCAGGCCAGTCCTGGCCTTCTGCTGAGGTGACCAGTGAGGGGCCAAACATGACACTGCTCTTCATGCTATGGGCAAGGCTGTTTACTAGTAAAAGGTTTGCAGAGCCTGCAAAGGATAACTGCTTCCTCCTCCTTACCAGCTAAACCTAGTTCCTCCCCCGTCAGCTAAGCCTGGGTGATGCTGGCTGTTGATTACAGGGCTGAGGGAGGGCAGACAAGTAGTGGGGATCCAGCTGGAGAGGGAAGAGGAGAGGAAAAGAGACCTTGCTTGAGGGAATCTGCCTGCCGTGGGGAGGGACCTGGACCTCAACGTGTTCCTGTGCTGCTGCCGTTGTGGTATGACCTATGTGCACTGGGCAAGAAAGTGCAAGCAATGATTTTTATTCACAGGCACCTGCCCTATATATATTTTGTTAACAGATCGCTGCATGGCAAAATTAACAATCCTACTGCAGCCATCTCTTCATTGGCAGTGTCAAGGGCCGTGGATGAACTTTAGCACAAGGTAATGAGGGTCCATCAGATAGGAAGAACTTTCTCACTGGTTAAGACGGCTATTGCAAAGGAGGCTTTATAAGAAACGTTAATGGGGTGAATCCCAGCAACTGTTGACTCGGCCATGGATGGTGCAGTGGGATATTCCCTGTGGCTTCCTCCGAGTTTCCCTCACGCAGGACCTCAAAACCCCACAACCCCACCCATGCTGTGGGGCCATCGCGGCACCTGCTCGCCCCCAGCAGAGCCCGGGCTCGCCGGGAGCATCTCCTCCGGCTCCCGGTACCTCGTTTCGGCTGCCTCCGTGTTCAGGCTGCAGCAGCTCCGTTGCCGCAGTGCCATCGTGAGGCCGCGGTGCCGGTGCTCTGCCCGGAAGCCTGTCGATGGGGTCGAAGGGGACAGTCCCAGTGCACTGCGGGACCCTGCGCTTCCCGAGGTCGAAGCTCTCTTTTGGCTGAGGAGTTGGTAGCAGCTCTTCTGAGGAGTTGCGCTGGGTGGTGTCCCCCGTTTATGATTCAAGGCCGGGTCTGGGCTGGCGATAGTTGTGTTAGGGGTGCGGTGTGGGGAAGAATTTCTCACAAAGAAATTCTGCCGCTGTACAGCTAAAGCTGGAGTGGAAAGCATGCTTGGAGGGGGGTAGTCATGCACGAGAAGTGGATGGGCAAAATTAAGCAGTATGTGTCTCCTTCACCCATTTCTCTGATTAGCACCCCAGGGGTCACTTTCTTTCTGGAGCACTGCTTTTACCTACCTGCCACCAGTTTCTGAAGAACTACCATTTCCCTTTGTGAAACAATGTAGGTCTGAGGCTAAATCAGTGAGCAGGAGCTGAGATATACTTTCTGACGAAGAACATTGTCCAAAATCTTTTTCTCTTCCCTCAGGCACAGCTTCTGTTTGGATGGATGTGCTGTTCCTATTGCTGGCTGCTACCTCTGTCCGTTGCAATCTCATTACACACTTCTGCATGCACTTCCAATTCTTGTGTTGCCGAATGCTCTTAAAGCAGTGCCAGTGCTCATCATGCCATGATGGCTGAATGGTTATATGACTTTATATGCAGACTGTAAAGGATTCCTGTTTCCTCAGTGAGAATGAGATACAGAAAGTACAACCTACACTATACTTGCTACTATTAATCTCAGCATCCCTCACCGAAAATTATTCTAGATCAGAGGTTTCAAATAAACCAGCTCTGAATGTCAATGCAATTCTTCACCGGGGTGGGAGATGAGAATATCTCTTCATACCTGTGTGCACACTGGTAATTGACATTTGATTTTGTTTGTCCTGCAGGGAAAATAAGAGTCAATGCTGAATGGCTGGAGGACATTTTCTGTGCAGCCCTGAACAGCAGTACGTGGCAGAGCCTGCCTCCCCAGAAGGCACTGAAATTACTCAGTCACCTCTCTTCTCCTGAATGCTGCCCCATCCATGCAGAGCTGAAAACTTCCTGCCCACCACTTGTGTGCAAGAGTTTTGGCAGCAAAACTCTTTTGCCTCTTCAGTGACTTAAGAGGAATAAGTAAAGGGTTGAATGCTGAGGTGCTGCTAGTCCCGGCTTCCTCTTTGCTCTGATACTTGACTCATCCCACAGCTGAAGCATGGGCTGTTTTGTTGGGTTGGAAGGTGCTGAACTGTGTGTTACCCTTAGGACCACATACCTTACAAGGAAGATTGCTTTCAATGATGTACATATTAACAGTGAAAGACCTGGACTACCATCCCTGAGTTATTTTGTCCCTGGTTTCTGTTTGGCTACTTATCAGGGTTGTCTGAAGCCTCTGATCAGGACTGGGGCATTGGATGCAGAAAAAAAAAAAAAAATCCTATGGAGAATATCTAGAGAGGAGAGTTCTTATGGGGAACTTGTGGAACTTAAGGTAGTTCATGGACTAGACTATTGAGGATGTTAAGTCAGGGGAACACTGCTTGAGAGAAAGGACCCCTGCTTGTGCACGATTGTTCTAGAGCCATTAGGCTCAGTTTTGCTCTGCATAGTAGAGTAATGCCTGGAACACTGGAATCAAGTCTCTGATTGTTTTTCAAAGACCCAAGAAAGAGACTTGTAGTCAGAAACTGAAGAAAACCATTATTTGTTAAGTTATTAGCAAGCTGCTTTGGACTGTTATTACCCACAAATGTTTCCACTTGTTTTTTCTTCCCAGAACCTTCCCCTGGTTTGACCTGATAGCTGCACAACTGAGGGTCTCCCTTTAGCCAGCTGCTAGAAGCGAGTGAGCTTGTCCAGGGCCATCTTGCTCTGCTCTACCAGGCATCCTTTGGAGACTGGCCTACAAAGCAATGTGGGCTGATCAGCACCAAGACATCTTTTACTTCAGCTGTAGCAGAGCCTTGTGTGACATTGGATGACAATTCTTAATTCTCCACAGCTGCTTCTGACATTTTCTCAGAAATTCCAGAGGAAACTGCTATCTATGGTTCTAAATCCTTGTAAACTATAACGAAGCCCATGGCAGAATGCTTTGCTGAGCTCTTATCTCAGCCCCCTCACAGGACTGAGGGGTGCAAGAATTAGCACTGTTTGCTCTTGGACTCTTTAGAATATTCCAGCCAATAACCCTATGTACACATTTGCTTCTACAAGTTTCACTCTCTAGACTGCTCAGCAAACTTGCTTCTGCCTGGCTGCCTGAGTCTTGCTCTATTTTCATCTGAATTTGCTTATTACACAGGCATCTTGGCCTACAAACTACTTCAGTTTCACTGGGTTTCTGTTGCAGTTTCAATAGAAAAATTAATTACAAAACCAAATTACAGTTATTTTGTAGTGGCTACAGCTTTGGCATAAATAACAAAACAGGATTGGGCCCTGTCTTCTTTTTTTATTTTTTATTTTTCACTTTTCCATGGGGGATCTTGAGGAAGCCACTGGTGCCAGACAAATCAGTAATGATTTAGCCAGGAGCACTCTTTCTGTTGAGCCAGGCTTTAATCAGCACATATTCACACTTCCTTGCTGGTGATAATACATACCAACACCACAGAGTACGTGATACGTCTTTCAAGGAAAAAGGAGGTAACTGGATATTCTGTCCAAATCCACCCAAGAAAAAGCATTTTTTATTCCTAAATTCTCTAGTTCAGCTTACAGCATTCTCTTATACTTCCTGCCATCATCTATCATGTGTTTCAGTACTGTTTACTATGATAAACCACTGCCTGGTTTTGTCTCACAGGAAACCATTTCTGTGGTGAGGCCAGGGACTAGTTGTGCATGTTTTAACTCGGCCCCTTGCTTAATTATGATCGCTGACAGCAGCTGGCACCACACCTGTATACCAGTTATTGTATATGCCATTTATCTTACATATGGGCTTTACACTGAGCGCAGCCTACAGACACTAAAGCCTGGCAGAAATCTATTCACTTGAGCTGCAGGGAAGTTGTTATCAATCACTGGTAATTAAAATACATCTATGATTGTTTTTTGATCTTTTTAATCAACTGTGAAGCAGAAGTGAAAGACAGTGGTACAGTCTGATTTGTAGCTTCTGCTTCACTTAGTTCCTGGAAGCAAAACAAAGGATTGCAGAAAAGGACCAATGTGGGGATGTATTTGCTGTCATCAAATGGCTATGAGCTGCAACGGCCTTTTCTATAATTGGGAGAAGGTGGAACTATACCTCCTTGGACAAACCGCAAGGTAATAACAGTATATTCTGCTGTCCCTGCTGGGCTTCTTACAAAGGTGGAAGTGCAGTGTGAGTCTCTAATCCTGCATCTGGGTGCCCTGCGGTACAGGGAGAGCATCTGCTTCTACCCCGCTCTGGGCTCGTTGCAAAGGAGGAACTGTAGTATGGGGCTCCAGTCCTGCTTCTTGGATAAACTGTGAGAAAGTGAGGGCGTCTGCTTTCTTTCCTGATTGTGACTTTCGCTCCAGGAAGAGACCCATGTTGTCTCTGTATGGGAGGGCAATGGATCTGTTGAAGAGAGGCTCCTCAATCCCTAGCAACTCTCGCACGTGTCGTGAAATCTCCTGAAATACAAGACAAAATACCAGAAATTCTCATTTCACAGGGCAACAGTTAGTAGCATTCATCATGTTGCAGAGCAGCAGGAAAAAGAACTGAATTTCTGAATTTTGGAGCAGTTTCACACTTGGGAGTCACAACTCAGGAGGGATCTGAACCCATGAGGCCCCTGTGATATTGTGAAAGCAGAGCAGACTGCGCATTCTCCAGATTTACTGTGGGGTATGGCATCACAGCTGGTCTCTCAGTGGCTCAAATAGCTCAGCTTTCCTCTTTGCACTTGCAGAACAGACAAGTTATGGGTGAACAAGCTGGAGTCTGTTCTGCCTAGTGCAAGAACATGTCTGTTTGATAAGTTACATTGTCAACAACAGAGTCAATACACGGAGAGGGTGTAAAAACTATTTAAACCAGTAAGCCATATTACTCATTAAGAAAATGATGGGTGACTGGCTGTCTGAGCCAGCGGTACCTGGAACTGTCAGTGAACAGAACCTTGCCATTATTTTTGAAGTCACTTCTGGGAATGTAACCTTCTGATTTGACTGAAGCTTCAAAATATAATTCACAAGATTTTACGACCTTTTGCAGCATTTGCTCAAAACCTTCCCCCAGCTTTGGCTTGACTCTGAAGAGCAGTACCGTACTTTGTGTGATATCAAAAGAACACTGGACTGGTACCTTCAGTGGTTTTGATATTTAAAATACCAGTACAGTGGAATTCAAACAGGCATTAACTTCACTTGTCCATGCTGCATAGCTTCCGCATAATTCACATGTAGATCTCTACCAAATAGCCATTTCCCCTAAATTGCAAAAGGTTTCCATTTCACTGAGCTGATGCAATCACATTTATTTCTATAGTAACTATCTTGGTTTCAACTGTTCACAGTTTTTCATTGATATTTCTTGGGAAGCTGATGTGCCCAGGATTGCAGCCTCAGCTTTGCACCTGCCCTAGTACACGCTTCCTGAAATACCCAAAGGGCCACATCCTGCTCAGAGTTCTGCATACTTGGATTCTACCAAAGTTCTCCAAAGCACAAATAATTAGCAGGACAGGGCATGATCTTCAAGAACATCTAGGTTCCACTGAAGTCTGCGAGATGTTCCCAATTCACTTGCAAGCTTTGGAAAACATTACAGAGACTGTCTCATTTCCAAGCTTGCTGCAGTATGCTGGCTGCTGCTTATCGTAGCCCTGAGGAATTTCAGCTTCTACAGGAGGAAGAATGGGTTACAGCTGATATTTCTAACCTGTGGCTTAACTACCCCCATACATAATCCCTAATGTGAGGGTGAGGCTTACAAAGCTTATAAAATTCTTGCCATCTTTGGTAAATGCAAATGAATGTAACAGCTGTATCTGCTTGTACTAGAAATACTCTCGAAGGGCTGCTGTCTGAAAAACTAAGCGTTGGAACTTGACACCTTCTCCTCCAACCAGTAGGCAAAGTTGTGGCACTAATCAATGTTTTCGGTGGCATGTTTTGTTTCAAACAGTTAAGATTGTGCAGCCGGACAGGTGCTCTAGAATAAAACAAACAATGTTCATAGTCTAGTCATTGGAGCATAAAGATTTTTCTCTCTTCCTGGTTATTTGAACTACCTTGTGTCCTCTGAGGAAAGCAACTTTAAATCATGATGCGAAACAAACAATTTGGCTCTGTAAATGCAGCCCCAAGTCCCTTTGTTTCCATTTGGTGGGGGAGGGAGGGTAATTAAATTTAAGCCAACTTGCGTATTTCCTAAACCTTCAGGAAGCTTTCGAAGGCCAGACTGTAGCCCCGAACTTCAGTCTAGCTAGCTTAACTATCAGCATTTGTTAAAGATGTAGGTTTGAAAGAAAAATTAACAGGCAATTACATGTTTATAGAGTGAGGAAGAGATGGAGATTCAGCTTTTGTGTTCAGCAAAGTGTAAAACAAGGAAGTAATAATGAGTTGTCCTTCTGCTGTTTGAGATCAGTGGCTCAGTTGCTACAGGTTAGATCTGGCTGGATTTTTATAAGTTCTACAAATCAGTAAGTGGAAAATTACTGAAAAGAAATTCTGAGGGATATTGAAGAAAGGTGCATACATTCTTGGTAAGCAATTTCACGGGGCAAGAGGAGCAACAAAGACTGAAGGAAATGCTAAGCACTTCTGACACATTTATGGTGTCCCAGAGAGAAAGCCTGGGATCTCCAGCCACCTAAGGATTTATACCTGAAAGGACTCAAGAAATACAACTGTTTGGCTGAACAAATCTGGTTGAGCAGTTTCAGGCTCACTCTTTGAATAAGCAACCTGCCTGGGCAGACAGGCGACAGCCTAGCTTGCCTGCAGGCAGCAAAAGTCACAGGTGGGCTCCGAGGGGCTGAGCAGGGAGCTGCGGCCCCGGGCCCCGCAGCCGCACCTGCATGTGCCCGAAGTCCGTGACGCCCATGGCGGGCAGGCTGGAGCAGGTCACCAGGACGAGGCGGCGGCCGGTGATGCCGTTGGCCCTGAAGCACTCCTGGGGAAG